CCTTTTCAATAGTGTTTTCTATAAGAATATTTAAAATACTCATTTATCATTGATATTTGTAGATTCTGTGGACCGTGGGTGATAAATAAAAATCATTAATTAGATTGAAACCTAATTAGTAAAACTTAGATGCAGTTATGAGAAATCGTAGAGCCATTGTAATATTTTAGAGAAACGTAAAACGATAACTATAAGTTCCTTAACTGGTTTTAGTGTGCCATCTCAACTCAACCATCTTTTTAGACTGACAGAATGTCGAGTCAGTTTCAAAGGGAATGCAACTCACTAACTTTCTGGTTATCCGGGATACACCTAAAGGAAGATAGTGAGACTGAAGTTTCCATATTCTAGTCTAAGTTAGAATATTTTTTGTTTGGTTAAGGGTATTTGGTGTATAAATAATTTGACATATTATTGTGCCATTTTGGTTATAATAGCTGGCCAAAAAGGCCATGCGTAGACCATTAAGGTTCATTGCGATACCAGATCAGAGTTTTATTTTTAGCGATAGTATGCATCGCTCAGTATGGGTGTGTTCTTAGCGTTAAGAGTTCAACAGTAATCTCAAGCATGTGCAACAATCCTGTAAAACTGACAGTCTCCAAGTATTTTTCTCTAGTTCTTGAGAGAGTCTGGCAGCTATACAGTAAATGCTTCAGAGGTTTCTTTGTGTTCGGTTCGTTGCATTTCTTACAAGCATCGAGTTAAGTTAGTGACCTGTCAATACACCAATTAATGTGCTACAGTGCTTTATTAAGAATCTCAATCTTAAATAAATGGAAAATAATTTGAGGTTATTAGTAGTATAGTTTTAATTTAATTTTAAAACGTTTTTGTTTTTAAAAAATAATAAAATATGTATATTGGAATTTAGTTTTTATTAGCTTCTATACCTGTTAGTAAAACATAAAAATCATGTTTTTAAAAACCATTGAAAATTATTTACTAAAAAGTAATGAATTGCTCAGAAACGCCTTTTAACTTAATAGCTATATTTTATTATACATAATACGATATTTTAAATTAAACATGAAACTGTTCAGATAATTGGGAAAAAAAACCTTAAAACTAATGAATCGTGTAAAATATGATATGCAGTGTAATTAATTTATCGATGCCAGTGAAGGACTCTTTTTTTATTCTGAAAAGGCAGCAATTTACCGCCTTAAATATAATTCAATTGAAATCATTAGGTGAATAATAAACTAATTTTATTTAAGCATATCGTTAAGCACAAATCTCAATGACATAACTGAAATTCATCTTGAAAAGAAATAAACTGATCACGTCAATCAAAACTGCAGAATCAAAATCACGTTTCAAAGTAAAACCCAACAAAGACATTAAAAACAAACAAAAAAAATTAATAAAAACATATTAGTATCTAAATACAAAAAACAAAAAATTTTATAAACACGAGAAGGTTTTAATTAGTTTGCGGCACTTCAAGACAATCGTCCAATTGTCATGCAAATGACACAAAAATGCCCGTAGATGGTAACTTCTAATTGAAATATAAAGTAAATAAAATGCGGATTTCAGGTGTTGGTGGTATATTCGAATAATTAAAATTATGCAAAATAACTAAAATAGCTGAGACCTTTGGGTTTGGGCTTACTTACGGATGCTTGCAAGTACCAGTGACAACTTCATTTGCAACACAAACATCTGCCAAATCTGTTGCAGAACAGTCATTGCAATTTGATTGCGACCTTAAAACATATACAAAGTATCTATTGCGACATGCCAACTCTAGCCGCAGAGTTAGAGATTGCTAATTCGAGCTTTGAATAATATTTGCCAAATAAGCAAAGCAAGTGAGCACCTAAACTAATGTACATGCATGCCTTCGCATAAGTATATTTAATTTTTTTAATTTCGGTTTTGTTTTTATTCTTCATTAAAAATATTTACCAAACTTCAAACTTATTACTCTTGGTATTGTACAAAATCGCAAAATTATGCAAAATTATTCTTTTATTTATCACGAAACTCTTTAATTTATTTATGTACTATAATTCAGTTAAATTGTGCCATGAACTGCAATTAAACAAAATAATTTATAAGTTTTGCAAAATATTTATTATTGTTATGAAACTCATTATATAACTTAAAAGTTCTTTAATTGTTTAATTGCTGTCTTGTAAAAATGTTTATGAATGAAGTATAATAACATGAGATTATTCAAAAGATAAATCAAAATATACTGAAGTCATATCAAGATACTTAAACATATATGCTTATTGGTAGAAGTAAACTTGACGAATATGTAATCATGTGGAACTAAAATTTAGGTTAGGTTAGGTTCGGAAGGCGCGTGCTGACCGTTGCCAGCAGTTCCACTCAGAGAGGCGAGTTGCTAACCTTTGTAATCCTTGTTAATCCATTTGGTTTTCCAGATAAAGTTAAGGAGATCCGATAAGTTAGCTTTCGTCATCTTTTCCAAGCCACTGAAAAAGCGAACCCCGAGACATTGAAGTCGCTTTGTCTGAAGTCCTGGACAGAGGCAAAGGAAGTAGTTGATAGATTCTACCTCCTCTTCATTTTGGCAACTCCTGCATAATCCGCTTGGAGCATAGGTGTAATGGCACAGTGCCCCGTTAGTACTCCAGTAAGAACACGAACTGCAGGTTTGTTGAAGTCTAAAATGCTTTTCGTTTTATTTTTGTCTAACCTAGGCCATAAGGTACTAGCGATCTTACAGTCTTCGCGGTTAGTCCATAAATTGTTTGTCACCGTGTTGGTGATTTCCAAAGACGAAATAGGTAAGTAAAATATTTTTTCTAATTGCCTAGCTGTATGTAAAATGTCTTTTACTCAGATGTTATTCAAGTTGATCGTACTGTTTGTGAAACATATTCCGAAACCGAATTAGGTCAGTAAAGGATTTATTACGATTCCATTGTATATGTAAAAGTATTCTTTGTTATGTCAGTTATTTCTAAACTTGATCATATTGGTTGTGGGTATAAGTACCGGGAATAGGTCAGTTTAACATTTTTTCAATTATTTTTCAGGTGTCTATAAAATTCATGTGAGTCATGCCGAACCAAAGTTTGAAATCGAAACAGGTCAGTAAAATTATTCAGAATTATTCTGATGTTCTTACTGCATATCAAAATGTTGTACTCACATCAGATCTTTAAAAATTAATGAAATTGATTGTGAACCTAGTATGAACTGGATATAGGTGAGTAAAAGATTTGTTCTGATACTGCTGTATATTAAAATGTTTTTTTTTCAGTCAGATATCTATGAAGTTGATGACTTTAGCTGTAAAGCAAAGCCCGAAACTGGAATAGTTTAAAAAAATATTTATTCTGACTTCATCAAACATTAAAATGTTTTTAGATAATATGCAAACAGTTCAGATAAAAGAAGCGATGCCAAGGAAATATTTATTAAAAATAACTATTCTATTCTTAATTAAATTGTGGATGGATTTATATTACCATTTATTTTTATAACTGTTACATTATAGAACTTTTATATTTTGTATTAGTTTCTTACCTAAATTTATAAATTATGTCTGAATAAATAACGCAAGTAGAAGAATTATAATATTTTTATTATAATAAAACTAATTAAAATAATTAGTTTAATAATTAATACTCGTATAATTTCTTTAATTATAATACCAAAGAATAATCCTCATGCCTTTGTAAGTTTACAGTCATACTAGACTTAATATTTTGTGTAGTTATCATTTGATTCTACAACTTAAAATGAGCTCTGACCTGCATAACTATTTGTCTATGTATGGGATTTTCACACTCAGTGCATCTATAGATTTTAATATTCTTTTATTGTAATTATGTCCCGACGTCTTTGCGCCAAATTAGCCGTGGTAGTTTATATTACATGTACTGCAGTTTATTTTTTTAATTTGTAATTTTAAGATTCCACTTTACTAGATTTAACGAATCGGAAACTGTTTTCACGGCCTGTTAAAATCTTTTTTATATTAATCTACCGAATTCTGTTAATTCCATTTCAATTCGGAACGAAAATTGTACGGAAAATTCTATTACAAAATAATTGAAATTTACTCCTAAAATATACATTACGAGTATAACACCCATATAAGCAGGGTTTTATTAAACTAAATAGCAGTCGTATATTGATTTTGTTTCGCATTAAGTGTGAAGCATTAAGCGATATGGTATTAAACTTTAAGTCATTAAAATCACTGATTAGAAACAAATTCTCAAAAACTTTAGCCCAAAACAAGCTGATGGTTGAAAACACATTCCAGTCAATAATAATTAATTTATCTAAGTTAATGCTTAGCGTGCATTAAATGTTAGCGTTGCTGATTATTTGGATAATAGTTGAAATAGTTCTACGGTCTGGTTTACTATAGATAGCGGAATTGAGAAGGAAGCAATATGCATCTCTACAAAATCAAGCCAAGTATTGAATAGAATAGAAGTATACCTTCTCTCACTCGCTTAAAGGTACCTCACCCCTGACATCGCAGTCCCCATCACCCTTCCCACAGACTTTGTCTAAGCCTTGCGCCATTAATCCCCTCAATATATCTCCCATTATTTCGATAAGTGGGATGCCGATCCCTTCATCATTCCTCTGTTTTACTGTAGTTCTCATAACCCACAGAGTCTCCCACTTGCCTAACCCCCGCGATTGCGCAATAATCCCACTCCCTTCATCAATTCCCAGTCGATCTTATTCATGACCATACTAGGTGTTAAGCTTCTTGCTCCAATCTCTCTCCCTTTATTACTGGAGTAAAGTTTCCGCAATGCTGTGGAAATTTTCTACATTCATTCCTAAAGGGCAGTTTTAGTGTGTTCAAGTCTCGCACTATGGCTTTCGATACCTTTTATCCATCGGAAAAAAAAATTTTTTAAGTAGATAGCATTCAAAATTTATATATTGTTTTAATAAAATAATTGAGTATGTCTTGCTTTTGCTGAAATACATTTCAAACAAAAAAGCTTATAAATATATTTTTAATTAAAAAAAAAAATGTATGAGTAGTCAAAAATGTATATAACGTGTTAAATTTTATATGAAATATCATAAATTATGGCGGCGCAACCATTGGTTTTTCTTTCTGTTCAATTTGAGGTTTTTGGCGATGAAAATCTGGAAATATTTGAGATTGCCAAAAAGAAACTAGAAAAATTTCCTTGCTCACTTGCCCAAAGCTTTATAGATGAAATTTCTGAGGAGGGTTTCGGAGGATTTTTGGAGGCTGAAGCTTCTCTTGAACTTGAGTTTGAAGAATTGTTAATCTCTGAAATGAAATTAAGACCTAAACAACTTATTCAAGTGATATTTTCAGCATACAAAAAAACTAATGCTATTGAGTGTGAGTCGGAATTAATGGAACCAACTGGTGAGTAGTAGAATTCATAAATTTTTTCATACATAATACATTCATACCATTTATATCTATTAAACTGTTTTTAGATGAAGAACAAACCGAACAAATAGTTGATACCTCAGAGGTAGAAAGCAACGATGACACTGCTGAAGACGACACTGTTTAAATTTTCCATAAACGGTTTTTAACTATATCACAATATGATACTAATTTGGTGCCTTTCAACATTATATATCTGTGCCTTAAAATATATTTGGTTGATTAATTAAAAAAAATGGTTTTTGTTTTATGATATACGAATGAACTTATGCCAGGCTTTTTAATGTGTATTAATAAAATATATATATGAGTATGTGGCAGTATTTAAAACAATCCAAATTTAATTTTACTCAATTGTTGTAGATAGATTTTTTCTCTTAAACTAAAAGTTATTAGAATGAGATATTAATTATTTATTTTTTGTTAAATTTGAATTGTGGTAAGAGTTTTTTCATTTTGATTACTCCATTGATGACATGGTCTTCTACAACATATTTCTGCTAATTTCGCTAAAGCATTGTCTGCCATTCTCTCGATATATCTAAGTCAACAAAATCGCTGGGTTTGAATTTGCTAAACAAAGTCAATATGGTAATAAACCTTGGTGTTCATTCGGTATTTTAGTTCGGTATTTATTATCATCTAATAGAAGACCATAGATCTCAACAATATCTTTTCTTTTATACTCTCTTAGTGCTTCTGCACTATTATGTGGTGTCGTGTATTATGTGTTACTACGATCGATAAATACACGGCCGAAGTAATGAAAACGCATTATTTTTGGAAAATTATATAATATTTTCTTCAATATATAATATTTTCTTTAGTCCGATACACCGAGTACGACACTTGGATACCTTTTAAATAATATGATTTATCAAATACACCAAAATATAGATCAGTTTTCTATTAAACTTCATCGTTTGATGTAAATCTCTAACCCTGGAGCCATCTTTTTAAGTTTGGAAATAGTTAATAGTCACTGGGAGCCAAACCTGAAGAATACGATGGGTGAAAAAGCAATTCGAAGCGTAATTCATATAGTTTTGCCATAGTTTTCGTTGAAAATTTTGTAATTTTGTAAAAACAAAATTTTTTTCTTCGACAAATGTAGTCGGACTGCAATAGAAGTCTGTTATTGTTTTTCTTTTTTTCTAAATAAGTGTAAAAAAATTATTCAACTTCAATTCCAAAATATAAAAGCCAAAACTTTTCTAATCGATTGTTGAGTTTATTGTAATTTGGGAGTTTTACTTCTGAGCTCTACCCATTCTCTAACTTGTTGTCTTCCTTTAGGTGTACAGTAATATATCCATTTTTCATCAATTGTATCTACTCGATGGTCACAGTCAGCTAGATTGTGTAGAAATATTTCCAAACAATGTTTTGAATGACGAAGTCGCCATTTTTGGTCAATTATGAGCTAACGCAGCTTTCATATTGTCGAAAAGTTTTTCACACCCAAATATTAATGTGAACCCAAAATATTCATATGTTTGTCTCTCTGCTATTTCATGTCATTTAATTTTTGGATCATCCAACTCAATATAGTGGATTTTTTCAATGTTTTCTTTTCAATTGTGACATCTTTTGTACCACCTAGACTTTTTTCATCCAAATCACTCATATGACCACGTTTAGATTCATCTTTTTAATATTTTATTATTGTTTACGATGGTGCAAGGTTGCCGTAAATAGAATCCATTTCCAATTTAATTACATCATTGTTCATTCCTTTGAAATGGAGGGTTTTTATTATTGAACTATATTCAATATTTTCCAATTCATAAAAAATCCAAATAACCAAATATCGGATGAAGTCGAAACTTTTACAGTTGCCATTTAAAATTTTCCATTTAAAAAGTCAATCCTCTTAGTATATGTTAGTTGCATAGCTCTGGAGTGCAAGTTTCGTTGGTTGGGACCATAAAAAAAACAAGCTGAATTTGTTTGCTTTTATATATTCGGTGATATAAATAACTAATGACTTAGAAAATATGAATATAAATAAAAGTTACATATTTTGCTATCTTCATTTTTAAACTGTGGTGCTATATAATGTATTGTGATCAATAGGGTGTTCACTCTATCCTGCAAAGTCAGGGCAAAGTGCATGAAATAGAAGATTACTACACTAAAAGAACGAGGACATCTCTGTTGCAGAATTGCCACATCAAAATAAAACATCTGTTTTTGCAGCAGTACACATCCGCATGAGAAACAACAGATGACAAAACATATTTTGCATAGCAAGATTGAAAGCCATTGCAAGAAATTTGTGGGTGTATTTTGTTTTTGTTTATTGCAAGCTCCCGTGACTTTTGCATTTCGTGCACCTTGCAGTGTGTTTAATAATAATAATAATAACAAGTAGACGTAAAAATTACCCAATAGCCGGTACTGTGGCCAGAAGAGTCCTATTGTACCAGTTTCTCTATTGATTAAACAAAGCCCCTTAAAGCTTTGTGAATAAAGTCTAGAAGTAAATCTAGAGAAGAGTTCTTAATCTGCTCTGGTGACAGAAATTCTTTATGAAACAGGTTTCTTCTGTGCGTTATTAAAGCTCGACAGTCACAAAGAATGTGCATGGTCGTTTCCTCATTTCGAGGCATAATCTGTATTCCGAGTTAGCAGGTAATTGTAGTTTATAACGACCTGTAATGAAACCCGTTATCAACCTTAAATTACATTTTGTACGTTGTTATCAGTGCTTTGCTTTGTCTGCGTCCTGGAAAGTTTACCCAGTACTCCAGCCGCATATGATTTTTCATTTCCTTGATAATCTGTTTTGTACTGGAGCAGTTTATTCCACAAAAGGGTTGAGGGCCAATAAAACCAGTTTTTGATGCAGTTCTGGCTAGCTCATCAGCTTTTTCATTTCCCAAAACTCCTCTGTGACCCGGAACCCAGTAAAGGCTTACCTTATTCTGAGCTGCAAGTGATTGCAGAAGCTCGTAACACTCTAGGACCTGTTTTGATGTGAAAGTCCAAGAAGAGAGAGCTTTAAGAGCAGCAAAGTGAGTTTACAAGACAGAGTGAATATCCGTGTTATCAAAAACAGTCTTGTAGAAATTCTCAATAAAATAACTGCTTCGTATGTTTAATAGACCCAATACGAAATGTTTTTGAATATCTTCATTGTGTAATAAAATTTTTTTTTATTTATTTTTTCATTTTATTTAATACTATTTTTTTTTAAATCTTTCTTTCCATGTTATTTATTAAAAGTTTCTAAGGTTTTAAAAGATATTCATTTTATTTTCTTGCAAATTGTTAAATTTTTATAGCGAGGGTGTTTCTGGCCATTTTATATAATCTCATGAGGTGTTGTTGATTGCTTTCTAAGTACTTGTTTTTCAAAGGAACAACCTTGAATTTCGCAGTTTTATGGATGTAAAATAACTTATTCAGAATCAAAATCCAAAAACTGACAATATCAAGTTATGCGATACTTACTTCGTGTTGTTGGGTTTTGGTTTCTGTGTATCTTATACGAATCACATTTATCTCATCTAGCAAAACACCTTCGCTTTAGTATTTTGTTTATGTATAATTTAATGAAATTTATATGCAATTGAAATAAATTTTATGCTCATTTAGCTTTAAGTATCGCATGTATTTTAGAAGTAATATATTAGCTAAGAAGTGATAAAGTTTCTTTTAATTACGACTGAAGCAATAATTTGTTTTATATTAACAAATTAATTAATTCCGCCTTATAAGATAAATGTACAAATTTAATATTTTAACAAGGTGTTGCGCATTTTTATTATCTACGGTTTAAAAAATATTTTTTTGGAATTTTGCACCTAATAAATGCAAAATTTTTATTCTATAAAATACATAAAAGACGGAAATTTAGCGTTCTGTTTTATGGGCCTTATAAAGTAAAGTGGTTTTCTGTGCGCTTAAAATAAAAAATAATGCAGTAGCATCATTTGAATTTGAATTAGTTTCTTTAGGTTCTATACATGCACACATCTTTAATGTGCAGATACTTAAAAGATGTGTTTATATATGAAACATAAGTTTAAATTCCAAATAGTGTTTTAATTGGATAGTTTTATTTTAATTAGTTTTAAAGTCTTGATTGCAGTCTCTAATTATGATTGTTCGCATTCTAATTATGAAAAGAATGTCGAACAATAAAAATATAAATAAATTACAAAGTTTTTATTTCTTAATTAAATAAAATCCCTGACACGATTATAAAAATTATTGAAAATTGCGTTAAATTACATTGGAATGATGTGTGCACTATGAGGAGGAACCTTTCAAAATTACAAAAGACAGTATTGAACTTTTTTTTTAGCGAAGCGAGGAGTTTCATTTTCACAAATCTCTGTGAAATTTATAAATCTGTCTTGAGTTATTATATGTCGAAGTCAACTTATATGATGAATTTTATTTCAAATGACTTGAAGTTTAAAATTTTATTTATGCCATTGTTAAATTTCTACTTTAAAGTGCACTTTAATTGCTACTATATAAAGAATATGCAAATGCTTATATAAATAAATGACTGGGTTCATGATTTGTAAATAAAAATATAAACTTTTTTATATATGCGAAAATTATAAATGATGTGAATAATAATTGTATTGCATAGAAAACAATAAATATCATTAAACAGAGAAGCAACAATAATTATATACACGAACTTTATATGTTCCGAATACATTTTTTTATTTGTAATATTTTTAATTAACGTCAAATTTTAATTTAGCGTCTGTCAATATTATTAATTTCTATTATACACTTTAAGTATTGTTTAATAGAATACGTTTATGTACTGAATAAAATCATTGCAAAATTTATGCTTTTATATGACTTTAATTATCAAATTTATTTATTATCAAAACAATAAAAATGGTAGTGGTATCTCTAGCGACAACTCCGGTAATTCATTGACCAAGGAACGGAGAAAAGCAAAAACAATACTTCGTTTTAAGTAAATTCACAACGAATTGGTATTATGTTACACATTTTACTTCATACCAGCAATAAATGTATAATACCCTTAAAATTGGACATAAATCAGATTAGATATAATGGCAAATGATTCCACAAAGGAAGATTCCATGTTGGATTCCCTGATGTTCTTGTTATTGGTTCTCCATCCTCCTAGTGATTTCTAATTATACTTAGTGAGTATAATAATAAATCATTACCATATTTATCATTGCATGCTCTCTATTAATACGGCGCACCATATATGAGATATATATGGAGATATATATAGAGATATATGGTTGATTTTTATGAGCTCAAGTTTTAAAAAACTTCTTTTTTTTTTTGGAAAAATTTCTTATATTTATATATTCGTAAATAATTTTTTGAGACGGCAAGTCTCAAATTAACTTGGGGGTTGAACTTGTAACCTGCCATATATGTAGCTCAGACTCACTATATATGCCTATTACTGATTAATTATAGTTATTTTTTATTGTTAGATTTCAGTGTAATTACTTTTGTAGAGCCATTATTGTTTGCATGTTATATTATTCTTTATTGTGTATCGTACCCTACCTGAGAACGTGGTTCAGATAAAGACATGATAATGGTAGTCGACATTCGTTATTTCCAAAAAATAATTTCTTCATATTTAATTTTTATATTTAGGTTAGAATTTATATAAAATCCAAGAATAAAGCCCTGCTTTTAAAATAATATAATAAAATATAAATTCTATTTATTAAAATTTTTTCTAAATTGCATCTATAAGCCTATAAGTATGAATACAGAAATGAAATGTAAGCTATTAAATGTTAAAATAGCTGCTAATAAGACCAACAACCTTCAAGCTATTTTCTCCCAAATATTTTGGAAGTAGAAGCACGTGTTTAACCCCCATAGGGTCTCTAGGCAAATAAAAAAAATGTAAACAAAACCCAATCAGCTGATACGTCATGTTTTGCTCGGCAAATAGTAAACAAATTTCAGAATCCTCAGTAGTAGTAGGAAAAATAATTGTTTACATTTACGACGGATGTGCACAGTTTATCCGGGAGAGCGTAAAATTATCCAGAAAGAAACTTAAATTATGGCGCGCAATTCTGCACATGCGTCAAAAAGAGAAGCAAAATTTTATTAAAATCTCAAAAATTGATTTTATCCAGAATCCCTAAAAAGAGTTTTTAATCCGCACCCAACTGCCGATACAAAAGTTTTGATTTTTCACAAAAGTGAAGTGAAATCTGTGCAGAAAAAATTTATAAAATTAATTGAAAAAATTATAAGTAAATAGAAAAAAGTAAGGAAATATTGTCAATAATTGGTGTTGTTTTTAAAGTGCGTATTTTTAAGATAAAAAACTTAAACCTAAAGTGATTTATCAAAATCGAAAACTAAATTTTTTTCATTTCAACACAGCAACGAACGTAAGGCGTTTCCACCCTAGAGGCTGGCAAAGCTTCAGATATTTTTTTCTATTAATGTACAACGTAACAAAATATATTTCTTACAATGCTTAATAATGAAAATAAAACATAAATTTTAACGTAAGTAGAATAGAAGGTGAACTACGTTAAAAGGCCATCAATATCGACCATTTGAAAAATTGAAGATGATACCAAATACGAAAAAGTTTTGGCTGGGCAGCATCTTTGGTTTGCTATTGATTAATGCTGCGGTGCAGAAAGGTACGTTTGTGCAACTAAAATCCTTCTTAGAAACGTTATGTAACAGATAATAGAGATATACATGTATGTGTTAAAATGATTTGATTTTTTTCTAATTTTCAATAAAAAAACTTTGACAAATATTTAAAGTTTTCCAGCGAAAAAATACTTTAAAATTTGCCAAAGTTTTTAAAGATCTTTAAAATGTAATAAGTTTTAAAAATATCCCTCCTTAATGCCTCAACATAAAATTTAGAACATCTAATTTAGGTAATTAATATGATTATAATATATACATACGTATATAATGTATGTATACTCTTATATAGCAAATAAAAAAAATCTAGTAAAAAGCTTAATTAAACCTCAAGGCTTTAATAGTTTTAAAATTTAAAGCAAAATAAATATTTCGTTTACACAGATTAATCTATCCTTAAAACAGTAATTACCTTCCTTATAATAAACTACGTATTGCAAAATATAATTACAAGATTAGTTGCCCAATATTAGTACAAAAATAAGTTATACACCAAACTGCGTTTCGTCGTTTAATAGAAAAGAGGGTTGCTTATAAAAACCAAATGACAAGGTAAAATAAAATATGAAATGGAAAAGATTTCTGTATCAACCGCCGAATCTTAACTCATACTCCTTCTGATGCCGAGCATTTTCGGAACAACAGGAACACCTACTATAACAAGTCATAGAATTAACAAATACCTATAAAACCTATAATCATGCATTATCCTTTCAAAAATTTAAATCGTAGTTACAAACAAAAAATAATATAAAAACAAATACAACAATAATATACAAAAACAACGCACTTATATAGCACTTATAATCCGTTATAATTCGGTCATCTTATAATTATTATGACTTCCACTTTTACCCCATATTTAGTATTGCAATAACTTTTTTATAACATATGTATTTATATATATATGTATTTACATATATATAAATGAAATTATAACAACAACAATCATTTCAATACAAGCACATTGGGTACAAGTCGGTTGAAGTGCCTATATCTAGCACATCCACCCACATTTTTACCAAACAATTTCAAGTACTTGTAGTAGCAACAAAGCATCTTTTATCTTCAACCTTTTTCTTCTGCATTCTTTACTATCTTCTACTTAGATAAATATTTTTCCATTGGCACAACATTGAAAGGAAAAAATTGTAAACGAATATGCTATAAAAGAAAATGTCAAAATTTGTATCGAGACATGCATTCTTTACTCATATGTTCTTATTACTCCTTTTATTCTTGCTCTCTCACTTTTATCCTGTATGTTATGGAATTTCTCTTACGGATAACCGCATAATTTTACTCCAACTTACTTTTACTCACTCAGTTTTCTCTTTCTCCCTATTTTTTCATTTATCTATCTTCTTTCACTTTCACCCTTGTTTTTTCCAAAATATTTACATCAAAATAAACATTTGTAGCATCACATAATATAATATTATTTACGAGTTTTGATACACAACAGAGACTTTTTCATCCTATCATGCTTTCATTATAAATAGTAGTACCCTTTTTAAAATAGCTAATAAAAGTATCTATATTCTGATTATAACCAATATCTTTCATTTGGGATTGTTTAGTTATGACATATTAATTATTTACATATAGTTTTATATATTGTAAGGTTTTAATTGATATACAATATTATTAATATAATAACATATACAAATAATTGCAAAAAATTTGGTATCATGGAATCGAATAAGAGGGTAATAATAGTGGATATAGAATTATACCTATATTTCTATAGGTTCTATAGAATATTCTATAAATATAGAAATAAAAATAGTTTAACTGGAATAATTTGTTGAAAAAATATATCACTGTTAGGAGTAGAATTATTTATAGACCCAATCCCTGTTTATAGATAGACCCGTTTAAAAAAAAGCACGTGTAATTTATTTATAGTAAAAAAAATTATATTACTAATTAGTCTGTAATTTAAATTTGTTTCAAGTGTGGAAGATCTTGATCATGACGGCTGTTTGGGCTCATTATTAAACCTAGTAATTTTTGAATGTCAAATATGATAGTTCTTTCATTGTTTTGATAGTCATTTTGTTCAAACCCTAATTTTCACCATTGATGTAGTTTAGGCTTTAAAAGACAGTCCAATATTTTCGTTGAAATTTCTAAATCGTTTATCTGTATCACATATCTTATATTATTTTTATAAATAATATCTTGAGCATGTTTTATAGACTAATTTTCGTCTTCGATAGATAAAGATAGATTTTTTAGACTTTTGGTTGATATTAATAAATCGATTACTCGAACTGTAGTGATTGGGTACAGGTATACCATGACAGATGATAGCAATAGCACAACATTGTATGGCTGCAAAATAGCTCTTTAGCAGTTATAACTTCTTGGGTACTTTAATAAGACAATTAGAAGAACTTGTAATATGATTAATATATGATCATTATATCTTTAAAAATTAATGTACAACTTAAGGGTGACATTGGGTGTTACCGGGAAAATGGCTAGTTATAATATATAACCACGCTCTCCATACTCTAATTTAATTTAAAGGAGGTTGATAAGTATTCCTAAATTTTTTTAACAAGTTTTTTCCCTTTTCTTATAAGACTGAAAGAATGAGTTGAGTTATTACATATGGGGATATTGACATTATATATAATATAGATGGCTAAGTTTGAGGCACATTTTCATTTTCTTAGATTTTAAGTAATTACATTTATTGTCTTGCTTTATTACTTAAAACTAGTTTTGGAACTCTAATTTTTTAAAACCGGCTTGCTAAGCTTGTTGAAATATAGAGTTTAATTGTATTATCGCTAGAAAAAATGTTATCTTATTTCCGATAATGAATTATTGGAGTTTGATTAACTCTGTTAATGCTAATAAGTGGCTTAATGATTTGAATTTAAAATCGTTGTCCAAAGAATATATAGTTTCGAAAAATTAGTTAATGACAGTGGTGAGTGAAATATTAAAATTGAATTTGATTGTAGAATATGTACAACTGAGTGGCAGCTGTGGGTTGAGATCTGGATAGTAGCATATACGCAAAAAAAAAAACTATTAATTATAGTATAAATAGAATTAAATACATAAATTTTCAAAACTTAAACGATCAAACATAGAAGTGATATTTATTGAAAAATAACATTGTTTAAATGATATCAAATAATAAAGATTTGTTTCCTACATAGCAAATAGGAATGCATTTTATATATAAAATATCTTTTAAAACCCATATTGCATGTCTAGAAACATATAATTTCGCATCATTAGAAAAGATTTTATTATATTTCAAAAGGAGCTTAAGAATATATTTTTTTTTGTAAAAATAAATATTATACATATAACTTATAAAACAGGGTTGTGCACCGCATAAAATTTTAAAGTGATTCAGTTCAGAGGTTCAATATTTTAAATCATTTCTTCAAAAATGACTTATTAACTTAATCAAACAGAATCGAAAAATCGGTTTTGTTACTCAACAAAGTAAAAAAAACCGCATAAAAACTAGTTTGATTCATTATCGGTTCACAGCCCTTATATAAGGTCAACATTTCTAACATAGATCGCCTTAAAGACTATCCACACTTGCATCCCAATTCCATCCTGACTGCCATTATCCAACACATGAATGTCAATATTATCATTTCATAATATTTTTGTTTGATATGTATTTCATTTTATTTTATTTAAAAAATAAGATTAAAGTTTGTACATACAAAATTTGTTATATATTTTAATTTCGTTTTATATATCATAATAATCTCATAAAACAAAAACTTCTTTGCATTATGTCAATTGTATTGTTTATCTCTAGTAAGTGCATCCGAAGATGAAGAGCGCTTGGTACGTGACCTCTTTCGAGGGTATAACAAACTCATACGACCCGTTCAGAATATGACACAAAAAGTTGGAGTAAGATTTGGTTTGGCGTTCGTACAGCTAATCAATGTCGTAAGTGTGCAAAATCCTTCTAACTTCTACATAATTACATATGCAAATAGTACATAAACGTATAGCAACACACCAGATATTTTAAGCAATTTATGCAATTGAAATGCAACTGCAATAATGAATGTGTTTTTACGTATGTACAAATGTGTTCAGTTCATGATTTTTATTATTTTGGCTCGTGACACCTGTTTGACACGGGTCCTGAAACTTATATGTAAATATACATAAATACGTGTATATATGTAAAGGCTTTTGTTTGTTAGTTACGATTTCAGTTTGAAAAGCTTTAGTTCCGTTTTGCTTTGTGTAAATATATTTGTAAAAAATTGTTTTTTTTTTCTGTAAACTTCATTTATCTTTTTATGTGTGTGTAAACGACATAAAATTTGTAATGATAACAACTCTCTAAACCCCTTTCTCAAATCGTTTGTATGCATTTGAAATTACAATTCTCTTCCGAAATACCCAGAATGAGAAAAATCAAATTATGAAATCAAACGTTTGGTTACGTTTGGTTTGGTACGATTATCAGCTGCAATGGGATGAGGCTGATTATGGCGGTATAGGCGTATTGCGTTTGCCGCCCGATAAGGTTTGGAAACCGGATATTGTATTGTTTAATAAGTGAGTACATCGTATAATAATAATAATAATAACATAAACAACTTTGTTGAGAACAAAGAAATGAGTGTTTTCTTGCGGCAAACAAATGTTTAAGTAGCAGCGAAAACTCTCTACTATATTATCTTATGAACTTTTTTAATATTTATTATTTCATTTTTTGCCTACAACAGCGCTGATGGTAACTACGAGGTGCGTTATAAGTCCAACGTCTTAATCTATCCAACGGGTGAAGTACTATGGGTGCCACCAGCTATATACCAAAGTTCTTGCACAATTGATGTCACATACTTTCCATTCGATCAACAAACTTGTATTATGAAATTTGGTTCATGGACTTTCAATGGTGATCAAGTTTCATTGGCACTTTATAACAACAAAAATTTCGTGGATCTATCAGATTATTGGAAATCTGGTACTTGGGATATAATAGAAGTACCAGCATATCTAAACGTTTATGAGGGTGATGGCAATCATCCTACTGAAACCGACATTACATTTTATATAATAATTCGACGCAAAACTCTTTTCTATACTGTGAATTTAATTCTTCCTACGGTGTTGATCTCATTCCTTTGTGTTTTAGTATTCTATCTGCCAGCAGAGGCTGGTGAAAAGGTATGTTTTTTTTAGTTAATTTAAATATATATAACAAATTTAATTTGTATATTTAAGGTCACATTGGGCATAAGCATTCTCCTGTCACTGGTTGTGTTCCTGTTGCTTGTATCAAAGATATTACCGCCCACCTCACTAGTGCTTCCACTAATTGCCAAATATTTGCTGTTCACTTTCATCATGAACACAGTGTCTATTTTGGTTACTGTAGTCATTATCAATTGGAATTTCCGTGGTCCGCGTACTCATCGAATGCCAATGTGGATACGTAGTGTGTTTTTACATTATTTGCCCGCTGCACTATTTATGAAACGTCCACGAAAAACACGTTTGCGTTGGATGATGGAAATGCCTGGTATGAGTATGCCAGCTCATCCACATCCATCATATGGATCTCCGGCAGAGCTACCCAAACATATTAGGTAAACAGAGTGCAGCATAGCAAAAACTTTTAACACATTTATAAGTACTATCAGTATGAAGTTATAAAATATTATAAACATATATCTTCGCCAAATACTATACAGCTTAGAGGTTTTGTTAATGGGACATAAGAATCTGAAACCATTCTTTTTGGTATCATGTATTTGAACAAAGTTATTGGAAATTTATCTTACTACTTTCAACTTTTTTCTTCGTATTACTTCCTACTTTTCGATAAGTCAATTTCTTTATTTTTGAACGCTATTATATTTCTAAATTTTTATACGTACAGTATATGATTTTCCTGTGTAATGCTTTTGCCGGTTTTTTACTTTTCTTTTTATTTCGAAATATTGTGTTAAGAAATACAAATTGTTGAACTGTTAGATTTTAAGCATTACTAAAATAACGTAAATACTATCATAATTGTCTTGTAGTATTAATGATGAATAAATTAATGCCTTTATGTTAGCTGGCGTAGTCCGTTTTGAAACTCAGGATAAGAAATCCACAGAAAATCTCTTTATTTTTATAAATGAGTAATCGATTAAAATTTATGTAAATTAAAAAAATCGGAGCCCTTTAAATAAAAACCTTAAATATTTAGGGAATCCTTAACTGCTACAAACTATGAAGTAAGATAGTATAAAGGGTTGAACTCATGCCCTGCCAATTTTAAAACTCAGAGTCAGTGTTAATTAACCAACTGACCCAAAGCCGTATTTAACTTGTATGTTTTAACTTGGACGTTTGTTTATTTGTTTTGAAAGTCCATTGACAATATTAGAACTGAATCATAAACCAACTATTGAATTTATTAATTGTAATCATTTTTAATTGTTAAATTTCAATACATTGCTTTTGTAGAGGCATTGCATGTTTTTATATTATTTTTTCTTATGTATAGAACATAATTTAGGAACTTAGTACAGAGAAAGTTATGTGAATGTTACCCCATGATTTGCTTAAACAAAATTGGAAACTTGAATGAATATATCTATTCATATTTCATTTATATTTTATTCCACAAAAATTTTATTTAAATTTATTTTTTGAAGTCAGAAAGAAACAGGATTTTTTATAGAGACTATTATTTTAATATAATATTACAGCACCATTATAAGAACTTCGTAGCTTCCAGAATGTGCACACTCTCTCGATTCCATAACAGAAAGATAAATATTTTCTTAATTCATGATACACATATACATAATAATACCTAATATAGGTATATAATAATGAAAAAATGTTGTTATTTTAATTTTTCGGATGCTGTAATTTTGCAAAGGATTTGGATAAGTTTCAAGATTTTGGCCAACTTTTTTATTTCATTGTATCTTGATATAAGTTACTTTTTAGGATATCGGACTTTTACACTACAAATTTTTATACGAAAAATGTTAGATGTTGTATCTACATGTTGTTATTCAACAATTATGTATTTGATATAATTATAATATTTGATATGATTTGATATAGTATAGTGGAAAAAGTTACTTGAAATATTGCGGTCCGTTAATAAATTGTACCACCCGGAAAATAAGCAGGCTACACTGACATTATAGTATAGTGAAAAAATTTACTTATAATACTGCAGTCAAATCCACTCGGAAAATTTAAATTTTCTTTTTATTTATAATTTAGTACTTTTCGAAATGACAAATATCAGTTACAGTTAGTCTGACATACATGTTGTTTCAGATTGAAATATAGTGCCATCTACTGGCATTAAAATATTTACTAAAGAGTGTCTCATGCACTCTTTTGTTAACGAAGAGGTTCTTTGATATAATCCACTGCTTTGTTAAGCTTAAATAAGCCATAAATATAATAATAATAAGTATAATTTGTATTAAAGCCAACATAAATCTTTTTTTATTTTATAATTTTTCTAAAGTGCCATTGGTGGAAAGCAATCCAAAATGGAAGTAATGGAACTCTCCGATTTACATCATCCCAACTGCAAAATAAATCGTAAAGTTAATAGTGGAGCTGAATTAGGAATTGGTGATCAATGCAGACGAGAAAGTGAATCATCAGATTCAATTCTCTTATCACCAGAGGCAAGCAAAGCCACAGAAGCTGTAGAGTTTATAGCTGAACATTTGCGCAATGAGGATCTTTATATACAAGTAAAAATTTATATATACATAAAATAGTTACCATTTCTTTTATATATACAATCAAACTTATTTAAAAACCATTGTATATAAAAAACGAAATTTCTTTTATTCTGCTTAATATTCTAGACTCGCGAGGATTGGAAATACGTTGCTATGGTAATCGATCGTCTACAATTATATATATTTTTTATAGTCACCACAGCTGGCACTGTTGGCATTCTGATGGATGCTCCACATATCTTTGAATACGTTGATCAGGATCGCATTATTGAAATCTATCGTGGAAAATAAATTGCTGAACACATTTTTTTCCAGAGCAACAAAATGAATGAAAAGTTAAACATTAGCAAATAATAAAACAATAATTAAAGAATTTTTAATACTAAAACGAATTGCAATTTTTTAAAGGAAATTATAACTTATAATAATAAATTAAAATAAAATATTGGCACACATTTGAATACACGTTAACATTAGTTGATAAATTTAAAATAAAAATGAAATTTAAAGTATTACTAAAAATTTAATAATTAATATTTAAATGAGATATAATAAATAAATTGCACTCAAAATGCTGCAAATGCAATTTAATCAATCAAAAATTTGAAAAAATTTTACTAACAATGCAAAGGTTGACATTTTTTACTTGAAAATTTTTGTGTAATGTTTTTAAAAGTAACGAAATTCAGAAAATTATCTTCAAAAAAAATTTTTAGTATTTATAAGTGAAAGAAAATAAAGCATTTATAATTTTATTGTTAATTTTTAAAAATTTTAAGTTTGTTATATTAAAAATGATTAAATACTTCCATACACTAATATAAAGAATATATTTTTAAGTGCTTGATTTAGATAAAGAGAACACAAGTCGAATAAAATAAAACTAGAATAAAATTATCTGATAAATTGTTGCAAAAAAAAACAAAAAGTAGCGATAACATCAGAGATTTAATAAATAAATTGAATAAAAGTTAACAAAAAGAGTATGTTTTTTTTTGGTTTAACGGACCAATTATCTAGTAGATCTTAGACTTGACATGATTATTTAATTTTTTGATTAATCAAATTTACTTTTTCTCGTTTTCTACATTTAAGGCTTTGTGTATAAGTACATTTGTCACAAACCCAAAAGCATCAAAAACGAGTCTAATAGCTTTAGACTCATCTTACTATAATATTTCGATATTCTACTGCCAACTAGGTGGATTGATTACTACCCGTAAAATACACTTTAATATAGTCCCCTTTTAGCTCGACACACCGAGTTCAATGATCTTTCAGCATTTGGATATCTTTTAAATAATAAGATTTATCAAGTTTTCCAAAATATATCTCAGTTTCCCATTCCACTTCATCATTTGATGCAAATCTCTTTTCCTGGAGCCATTTTTTCAAGTTTGAAAATAAGTAATAATCACTGGGAGTCAAATCTGGGGAATACGGTAAGTGAGGAAGTAATTCGTATTGTACTTTATTTAATTTTGCCATGCTTTAGAAATACGTATGAGCGGGTGAGTTATACTTTACAAAATTTTTTTCATTCATTTAGTCAATTCAATAATATGCTATAGTAGTATGATGTTATTGTTATTCCATTCTCCAAATAGTCTATAAAAATTATTCCAATTCAATACCAAAATATGGAAACCAAAACCTTTCCAGCAATTACTGAGTTCGTGGTCGTTTGAGAGCACTACTCTCCTGCTCTACCCATTCTCTTTACCCCGAGCTTCTTGTTCTTGTCCTCAGGTGTGAAGTAATGGATTCTTGTTTCTTGAATTGTCATTACTTGATGCTCACAGTCAGCTAGATGATGTAGAAATATTTCCGAACAATGTTTTGAATATCAAACTCGTTGTGGTTTCTGGGTCAATTGTAAGCAAACGCGAAACCCATCTTGCCGAAAGCTTTGTCATACACAAATATTCATGTAAGATATTAGATGCATGTTCTTATATGGTTGTCCTCTTTGCTATTTGTGCAATTTAATTTTGGGATCATCCAACTCAATATAGTGGATTTTTTCAATGTTTTTTTCAATTGTGATATCTTTTGTACGACCTGAACTTTCTTCATCAAAATCACTCATATCACCACGTTTAGATTATCTTTTCAACATTTTATTGTTGTTTATGATGGTGCAAGGTTGCCGTAAACAGCATCCATTTCCAATTCAATTGCATCATTGTTTATTCCTTTGAAATAGAGGAATTTTATTATTGAACTATATTCAATATTTTCCAATTTATAAAAAATCACTAAGGAGCATTATTTCAAATATATGCAAAAAGTTAACCAAACATCGGATGAAGTCGATACTTTACAGCTGTCATTTAAAACTTGCGAGATATACAAACTAACATATAATTTATTTTGTTTTGAGTCCATAATATATTTTTTCTTTCAAAAACTATCATCTAATGAATTTCAAAATATCTTACTTAATCACCGTGAGGAATATATACATTTAATATTTATTTTCTCAATTAACAAAAGATCGAATCGTTGTATTATTACTTATAACCTGTAAGAACTTCACGATAACGACTTTAGCCATGATAATCATTCTTGGTTCACACGAGCTTTATAAGACGCTGTGGAGTCTTGATGGAACGTTTATGGTCTACGACTAAAATAATGTTTGTTTACAACCGAATCGGAATCAGTTGATGTTGCTCTCTTTTTTGGTCCACCACCATAGCGTTTGGCGACGCTGCCTGTACTATTATAACTGTTTATGGTAAGGGTACGCAATCATTTTATATACTTTGAGGTATTTTAGCTCACGAATATTAGCTGGTTGTGATTTTTCAGCCAAATGTAATTTTTGATCTATAAAACTTAGACCCAAATACATGTGGTAGCTTTAAAACAATATAAACAGTTGTCATTCGTATGAATACGAATACGAATATATCTGTGTGTAGTTGGTAATACTTCAAACGCTAAATCCTGTAAATACTAGGCATTTTTATGTACGTGTAAAGGGTTACATGTCAATATTCACTGTTTCCAAATATTTTGATACAATATTTAATTAGTTTTTTTTTTATTAATTAAAAAATTTATAATGCATTTTATTAACTTTTATTACAACATTTTGACAAACCTCTTATTTATGTACTTGTTTTTTATTTTAGAATTTGCAAATGTATATTTGTGTCGGTAAATAGTGTTAATATTTATTGCATCATGGCTCATAAATTTTGCACAAATCTTTTGGATTTATTGGAATTTGTAGAATTTTATGATGTACAAAATGTTTAGTTTTCAAAAACAGCATTAATTTTTTATGTCAACGATTGCTTGGGAACTCAAAGTTAGAGCCTCATAGCCTCATCAGATATAATGCATTTGTGTTACAGAAAATGAATAAAAACATATTTAAATACATTTGTTTTTTATATAAATATTTATTTAAGAACAAAAGAAAAATCATAAATAATTAGTAATCCATCAAAAGTGGAAAATATTGACTGTTGAAGTAAAATGTTTTTAAAGTGTACAGCAAATATTAAAATAAGTTTATAAAAAAAATAAAAAAAAAAACTTCATGACGTGTCAAGGTGTTTCTTTTTAAGTAGAAATACAATAAAAACCGTTGAGGCCCTTTAAATGCATTGATTTGAATTTACAGATTTACAGATTTACGAATTTTTTCTTTTAAAATTTTCAATTAATTTAAAAATTTGTAAAACGAATATAATTTGAAGACTGTAAAAATTGAAGACTGTCTAAGTCGAGCTTAGAAAAACTTTAAATTTTCTCATTGCAGCTTAAATATTCGTTAGATATGTACTTTTGAGCTTTCAGCGAGTCAATAGTTCAGTGGCTTAAGTGTTAGCTTTTAGAGCAAACAACTCAAGCCTGGCTCGAATTGAGCTCGCTGCTGATTTGTATTTTCTGTTGGGCGCTAGTTAAGTTTTCATATAAATTTGCGAAGGGAGCTCGGCACAGCATCATTTGAATCTTGAATTTGCTAACGTTAGCACTTGAAAAATAAAAATCTTCAAAACGAAACGCGTGTGCTGTGCTTCAAAGTGAAACCAAATACTAAAATTGTGTAAAAAGGCCGGAAAATTAGGCTAAAAAACCAAGCACTTAGCTATTGTCTACAATGGTGAGTGAAGTTGTTGCAATCTGACAAAAAGAAAAAAAAACCATAAAGGTATATGAAGTACGTGAACTACAGATGCAAAAACATCCTAAAATATTATTTAATATGAATAATGTGATTTATGTACAAATTTTCAACAGTTATGACATTTAAAAAATAAAGACCAAAATTGAGATATTTTTGTTTAATATTGTCACATGAGTTAAAAAAAAATGCATTTAACTTTGTGTGAAAATGCATGAATTGTGCGCTGAATAGATACTTTGTTACACTAAGTTCCAAGATTGGTGCCTACATAAAGTGTGGTTGGATTGCGTTCGTTTTGTTGGATAAGATGACAAGGGTCTCAGTTTTGCAAAATGCAAAAATCGTGATGAAACTGTTTACATTGCAATTACGTTTTTTACCTTTTTGTGTACTCAGTTATGTTTAAATTTTTGATGAACCGAGATTTTGTTAAGATGAATGACGTTATATTGATTTACTTTGTTGATTGAATTTGTAGTGCTTGCTCTTTATTATAAAAATAATTTTGAACTAATGAACTATATTATTTAATATAATTTATACTTAACTTTTGATAAATAATCGTTTTAAATACTCACATTTTAAAAGAGAGTGCATGCTAAAGATTCTATATTTATTATAAAATTATCAATATTTGATATCAATTAACAAATATCAAATAAACAATAATAGACAAAATTCAAGGATTTACATGAACGAGTGTGAAAAATTGAATGAACACAAATTAATATCTATTTATCTAAAACAGTTAAGTTTTGTACAAAAATATTTGTGATCCTTTCAATAATAACTTGCAGGAAATAATTTATTTAGAAAATGACATATAAAGCTTGCATGGAATGTTAGCCAATTTCTGCTGGAAATCAATGAGTTTGTTGCAAAGAAAGTAAAAGAAAAAGAGTCCAAAAATATTAATATTACTAGAATAGTAATAGAGCGAAAGCAAATACTAATTTTCCTTAGATATACTATAATTAATAGGAATTAAGAACTCAACTACGAGAGTATTTTGTGACGCATGTTGCAGTTTTTAATGCTCAGCGAGATATATAAAGATCACAACTTTATAATATCAGAAAAATATTTGATAGTTTTGGTTGGGTTAGTATCGCTGACTATAAACCACGCATAGATCTTTTGATTTTTAGCGAATTCAGATACAATAAAATTTAATATCTGATAGGATCCATATAGATGGAAGATTTTTTACGAAAAAAGCAATGATGGAAGTTATATTCTTAAGACAAAGCCACTAAGCATTTGTTCAAATTGTTCACAGATTGCGTTTAGACCACACTTTAGTGGAATTTGAACTTACGCCCTATCTAGCGCAATGAAAGCAGTTTGTATTTATTAATTTTCAAACTAAAAATGAAATAAATTTTTCGCTTGTAAGATATTTTTAAATTCTTTAGCCGTACTTTAATTTACAAACAAAACAATAAAAACTTTAAATAACACTTATAAAAAATATTAGTTTTAAATTGACATATTTTATCAAAAGTTAAATGAAAGAAAATGCTTTACAAAACCCTTAGGAGATAGAAAATTTTTCTAGAATCTATTTAAGAATTAAAAAATTCTTAACAAATGTCAAGGATTGTTTGTTGAAGCATTGTTAATTATCAATGGTTAAATAAATATTTAGCATAGTTTTATTCAAACCATTTCTTACTGTCGATGTATAACTAATACTTTAATAAATTAATAAATTAATATATTTATAATATATATAATATATGTGTATAAAGCACTATTGCTATTTATTGACCCATGTGCTTCTAAATCATGTTATTATAGCAATTTGATTTAGTAATATATTAATGTTATAATATAAAAAAATGTAAAAACTTAAGTTAATCAATGGGGTAGACCAGCATATTTGCAATAAATAAATTTTAAAAGCAATATATAAGGAAGTTATGTTATAAACATATTTATTTTTATTGGTATTACGATTGCACATATTTAAATATCGTAAAAAAAATAATTTTAAGATATATCAATATTCTGAAATAAAACATTTAGCCTCTATTCTAATATTCATTTTAATTTAATTTAATTTAATTTCAGAATTACTTTTTTCTGCTAGCATTACTACTAGCAGTATGCGGGACTTTTGCAGATGTATCGCATTTAGATACTGATTTACGTGAAGATGGTTATCACTATAAGGAACCTTCAATACCATTTCCACCTCCTCCTACTGGAAATGGTCTAGAAGATACAGATTTTCGGCCAAGACCACCAGGTCCACAGCCACAACCGCAACCGCAACCACAGCCACCTGCACCAGCACCAAGCTATGGGCCACCTCAGCCACAACCAAGTCCACAACCTCAGCCACCAGCTCCATTCCCAAGTTATGGACCACCACCTGCACAACCATCAAGACCACAACCAAGCCCACCTGGTCCAAGGCCACCATCTCCTCAACCACCAGCACCTGGTCCTAGTTATGGTCCACCACAGCCACAACCTCAGCCACCATCTCCACAGCCACCATCTCCACAGCCACCAGCGCCAGGTCCTAGTTATGGTCCACCACAGCCACAACCTCAGCCACCATCTCCACAGCCGCCATCTCCACAACCACCAGCGCCAGGTCCATCTTATGGTCCACCACAACCTCAACCGCAGCCACCCAAGCCTCAACCACCAGCGCCAGGTCCATCTTATGGTCCACCACAGCCACAACCACAACCACCAAGACCTCAACCTCCTGCACCTGGACCAAGTTATGGGCCACCTCAACCGCAACCACAACCACCAAGACCTCAACCTCCTGCGCCTGGACCAAGTTATGGGCCACCTCAGCCGCAACCAGGTGTACCTCAACCTCCTACACCAGGAAAACCAGGACAAGAATATTTGCCACCATCAACTCCAACGCGTCCGAGTCCACCAATTTTCCAACCACGTCCACCAACACCCGCTCCAAGCTATGGTCCACCACAACCACAACCACCAAGACCACAGCCGCAGCCACCTAGTCCTCAACCTCCAGCACCAGGTCCTAGTTATGGTCCACCACAACCACAACCACAGCCGCAACCGCAACCACAACCTCAACCTCCAAAACCTCAGCCTTCTGCACCTGCGCCAAGCTATGGCCCACCACAACCACAACCTCAACCACCAAGACCACAACCACAACCACCAGCACCGGCACCAAGCTATGGTCCCCCACAACCACAGCCACAGCCCCCACGACCTCAACCTCCTGCGCCTGGACCAAGTTATGGACCACCTCAACCTCAACCACAACCACCCAGACCTCAACCACCAGCGCCAGGTCCATCTTATGGTCCACCACAGCCTCAACCACAACCACCAAGACCTCAACCTCCAGCACCTGGACCAAGTTATGGACCACCTCAACCGCAACCACAACCACCAAGACCTCAACCTCCTGCGCCTGGACCAAGTTATGGACCACCTCAGTCGCAACCACAACCACCTAGACCTCAACCTCCAACACAACTGCCAAGTCCACAGCCACAACCTGAATATTTACCACCTCCTGGCGACAATGAAGTAACTATTCCAGAAACTTATCCAGGACCATCTCCAGGACCATCTCCGGGACCAACACAACCTGAACCACAAGAACCGATACCAGAAGCTGGTTCGTTGGGACCTGACGGTTATAACTACAACAAACCATCTCGACCATTTTCATATTAAATTAATAGAATTCATAAATTATCACATTCTTACTCACCAAATGTAGTATTACTTTTGTTCCATTTTATGATCACAAAATAAAGTTTTAGGCCGACATTATTTTTTTACGCATCAATACGAACAATTTTAAAAATCTGTGCTATGTATCTGTAATAAAGATATTTAAATATTCAAAAACTATACTTTTACGTTTTTAATAATGGTCATTAGCGTTTGATATAAACGGCTTGTTTTTCTTTCAATATCTTTTTTTCTTCTTTTTATTTCGTGCCTTGGAGTTGAGTTTTCCATTGAGTAAAGAAACTCCGCAGTATTCATCTGCGTGTTCTCATTTCAAAGATTCTGTCAAAAGATTTGGCAGCTGACATTTCTAAAGCTTGTGTTTGAAAAAAAGTAAGTGAATTTTATAAAAAACACTGTAGGAACATTGACGCCAGTCAGAGACGGAAAATACTAAATGCTTGTTTTATTCAATATCTTCTAGTGAAATATCATGAGGTCAAGTTTAGTGCGTTGTGAGTAGCTAGAAAAACGTAATTTTGAAAATGATATTTCTAATATGTACAAATACAAACGGTGCTGAAGGTTATAACCAAGATAGAAATGTAAAACAAAAATCAGCTTATATGGTTTCAAATTGCAATATGAATCATAAACGAGATAAAACCATTTTCATCTATATACTCATATCTGCAATTATTATATCATTCTGTTAACTTAAATAAACACAACAGTAGGCCATATATTTGTTTATAGGAAGATGCTTTATACTATGTTCAACACACCTTAATATCGTAAAAATCTTGATTTCATCTCCTATTAAGTGAAATTAACTATTTTTTCCATACAAAATTCAGTTTTGAGGTTACAACGAAATTAAGGAAAATGGCCTCAATTTCATTGAAACGTTGGCTGAAATTAAGGAACATTTCAAATGCAACTATGCCTAAGATAAATTTTAAGCAAAAGATAAAGTGAAGATAACGAAAAAGTGATAATTTTTTTAAATAAATGTCAGTGACAGTTGACTTTATTAAAACCGGGAAATATTTTGAAACTAGTACAAATTTTTAAATTTGAGTATGGAGAAAGAACTGTAACTGGTATAATTTTAAAATAGAGTGAAAAATAATACTCACATACCTGATGTCCACTAAAGCTTATAAAACTACTGATTGCCATTCTTTATAATTATAATAAACAACTTTTAAAATTTCCCAGACACAAATAGTGATTACAAATAGTAATTTCTAGTATTCGATTTTTAAACAAAAAACATACGATTTCCTTAATTTGGGGCAGTATGAACATTTTCGAAATTAACGTAATATCATTTTCACTAAATTAAGTTTATTTGGCTTTTTGAACATAGTATTACTTTCTCGGAGTCTTTGTTTTCAGCTCAGCTGTTGTTTGTTTTCATTTTCTATATAAAACATATGACACATATTTCAAATAATGATAATTTCCTTTGTGGAAAATTTATTTTTAAGGGTTGCGTTTAACATTGTTCGCCTTAAATGAACTGATTTATTGATAATGAGCTCATTTATATGAAAGCACTTTGTATAGTAAATCATCCTCATTAGTGGCTATAATGAGCAAATCGCTTAGATGAGGCAGTGTGAATGTGCTACAAGTACAGAAGTGTCAGTTGATTGTTTGTGGCATAACTAATTCTATCCAAGCAGTTCATACATCTTTGGGTAGCTTGAAAACTTTTATTATAATAAAAGTTTTTTATAATAACAGTTAAACACTTTAATAAGCAGTCGTAGTGTTCAAAGATTGTACGCTTTGAAGTACTCATTTACATTGTCCACAACTTAGTGTTTAAAAAGAATTTGTATTTGGATGTTTGTAATGAAGAAAAGGATATATGTTTGACTTGTACAGATACGAGGGCAGTTTGATAAGTGAATGACTTTTCGAATAAAACTAATTTTTTTCGGCAAATAAACATTTTATTTTTCTACATAATCATCTTTTAGCTCGATACATTTAGTTCAGCGTTTTTCTAATTTTCTTATTGCCTCAAAATAATAGGTTTTCTCAAAACTCTCAAAATACGCATTTGTTTTGGTAATGACTTCCTCATTCGACTCAAATCTCTTACTTAGAATACGCTGGATGGGGTAGCAGTTCGTATCCCAATTCGTGGATTTTGGTCACGAATGCTTAATCAGCACACGAAATTAATTTTTTTTCAGTTTCCTAAAAATTCACTAGGTTGTCTGCTTTGACGGCTATCAAACACCAACTGAACGACGTAGCTTGCTCAAAATTACAAAGTTGCCCACTGTTAGATTACAGCTGACGGCAGCACTGTTGCATTTGGACTAACTGCACGGGTAATTCAAAAAGTCACTGACTTATCAAACCGCCCTCGTAAAGCAACCTTCAAACAACTGGAAAGTTTAAAGTAAACACATATTTCAAATGTTGTGAATCTTGGCTTGAAAATTGGTGAGTCAAGCATACAGCACTAATATTTATTTTATAAGTGCTTTATTATAAATTTGTTTATTTTTCATTAACCTCTGTGTTATAAAATTTTTTTATCTTATTTTCACCTACTGCAAAATTTCTTATTATTTAGTTTACAAAAGTGACTTCAATTGCATAATTTCTATACTTATTCTGAAAACAATTTTTATACATTTGATAAATTTTAAAATAGAATATTAAATTGCTACTCTCCGTTAAAAAAAGTAACACCTGTTTAGTAACTGTACACATACGAGATAAATTATTTAATTACAGGTATTGATTAGCTAAGAATTTTTATTGTATTTAGTATTTATCTAAGAGAAGCTGTGCATGTTTTTAATTTTTATTTGTTTAAATTTTGTAATAAAAATCTTAAAATGTAATTTTAAAATATTTTAGAAAAATGAATAAAAAATATTCACAAATGTCAATAAATGAGTCAAATAAATGGACAAAATTAATCAATTGTCGATACGTCTTTATTATTCTTTTAATTGCATTTTAATACATTATTTGTCGGTATGGGTAACCAACCGAAATAGACGGACACAAGCCGTGACTTTAGTGACTCTCTGTTGTTCAAATAGTTAAAGCCAGTTTCAGTAAAGAGTTTGCGTTACATAATCACAGTTTTAACTTTGTTCACTTATTTTTTATTTTAAAATGCAACTTATAACCTCCTCGGCAGTCTTTAATTTTCCATCAACAGTTTTACTTATGAGTTTCTGTTCGATGTCTATCAAGCGACACTGCAACACTTCAAAATCTCATTAAAGCAATACTGGACATGAAGGCTTTAAAAGCGTAAATATGTGCAATATTTTGACGTTAGTTTTTTTTTAACACTGAGAGAAGATATTAATTACTTATTTTTTTTTCCCTTAATTTATTTTAACACTTTGGAATTATGGAGTTCCATCTGCAATAATTGTTAATAAAATGACCTTCGCTTTGTCACTTCTCTGTAGTCATCATAGCATGCAACTTTAGTGATACTATATGTGCACCCTCGTATATATGTTATACTATGTATGTTTTAATGACAGCAATGCATTGAAAATCTATTGTTATTTTCCGTGCAATAAATGCGTTTAATTTGCTATAGTAAATGATTGTTTTTTAATGGTCATTATTATGCCGGCAACGATCTTAATGAATTGAATGAATAGCTTTTTAATTTGTTGCAACATAGGCGCCCTTTGACACTAGTAGCATTTCAGCATATTTCATGATAAATTAGCGAAGTAGCTTTTTCATGACATTCCGAACCGGTGCATGATTAATGAAGTATAAATAAGGAATTTCCGTAGTCTATTCCACACTATTGTATATAAAAGTGATTTGATAAATTTTTATTCGTTTTGCGGATAAAAGTTCTTACTTGGTTTGCCAAACAATAGCATTTTGTGTTGTCTATTTATTTTATATTCTTTAGACAATAAATTTATATAATTTTATATTGTATAATTATATGCTATTATTTAAGCACTTAGAATTTGGATACATATAAGCATAAATAATAAGTTTAAGCTAGTAAAAACGTTTCTAAAAACATTAAAAATAAAATGAAAATAAAAAAATAGTAATTAATAGTAAAACTCAGTGCCTAAAGCTAAAATTTACTTAATCATATTAATAATAAATACTTTTGTTTTAGTATTTAAACGGCTATAAATTTTAATTTAATTACCTTCCGCTTATATACATATAATTTGGATATAGGTATTGAGTATTTCAAGAATTTAAAATATCTTATAAATAACTTCTAAAGCCACTAAAGTAAACATCTGTAACGGTAGTATGACGCCTTGGCAATATCTGACTTATTTTTATCCACATTAAATGGTCGTATACTATGATTTTCTATACATTTGTCATTACATTGTGTAAAGCACTACGACTAGAAGATCTATTGTACTGTCCTCTTTTAGTCACTGAAGCAAACAGCTATAACGGTAGCACTACGCCTTGTCAATATCTAACTTATTCTTTTCTACACTTTGTGCTCGTATACTAAGATCTTCTATATATTTGTCATCTCCATTGTGTAAAGTAGAGTTGGAGAGCTATCGATAGTCGGCACCATCGATAGTGAGCGATAGTTTTTTTCCAAACCATCGATTGCTATTGATAGTTTTCGATAGTATGTTAGTATTTTAATTTTAATACAAATGTCTGTTCAGTTCAAAAAATCATTTTTTTATTTTAAATTTCAATTATTAATATTACACATTTCATTTAATTTTTGGAGATAATATTTTACATAAATAAAATAAAATAAAGATCATAAATTTCATTTCCTTTTTTCGACAATGTTGCTATTTTATTAACCAAAGATTTTTGTTTAAAAATCACATCATATTGATGTTTTTTTCTTTCAGTCGAGTTCGGCGTTCTGAAACTATTTGTCCAGCTTTACTGAACATGCAGTCTGACTTGATTAAAGTAGCGGTTTCATCATTGTTATTTAATAGTAATTTAATGTGAAATTGTGTATATCCGTGATGTTTTTAGAATTAAAATTTAAAATTCATTTTACGACGTGGCAAACTACAAATGCCAAGAGTGCGCTTGTTTTTGTGAAACGTTGCTATGACAAACTATCGTAGACTATCGATAGTCTAGCACTGCTATCGATGGTAGATCGATAGTGGTAA